AAAAAAAAAGAGGAGTTGTAACTGTTGGTGCTCTCCTGCCACCGAGCAGCGGGGCCTCTGTGTGGGTGTCCCCAGACTCAGCCCCAAATTCCTGCTCTGGAGCACCTGTAGCCCTCATTGTGCTGCTCATGGATTTCCTCTCTCTTTTTTTTTTTTTTTTTCCCTGTTTTTCCCTGTGTTTTCCAGGGATTTGAGGTTTTGGCTGAAGCTGCCACCAGCCAGAGCCTTGCTGGGAAGAGCCCCACGTGCCGAGGAGGAACCTCCCGAGGACGCTGCGCAGGTGAAGGCACGGGAGGATGGGCTGGCTCAGAGCTGGAGCGATCCAGACGGACACTGGGAATGTTCTGGGAATGCTGGGGCTTTGGGATTTGGTACAGTACATCCTACAGGCACATGGCTCTGGTGGAGGGTCTCACATCGCAGTCGGACCTTCCGAGATCTCCTCCAGCCTCTGCTTGATCATCACCCGGAGGATGGTGTATCTGGAGAGGCACAGGACAAGGCAAAGAGGAATTTTCAGCACCGAGCCGGCCAAGAAAACCCTGGAATGATGCAAACCCCAATGGCTCTTGCCCACATCAGGGGTGCAGGGCTGCACAAAGGAATTTCTGGGACCAAACAGCCCCCCAGCAATGCCCTTCCCTCTCACATCCCCCCTCGGTGCCACCAGCCCGACGTACTTTTGCATCAGCTTCTTCACTTCACGGTCCTCCTCCTCCTCCAGCTTCTGGATGAAGCTCCTGAGGATGGGCATCTCAAACTTGATGTACTGAGCGACCTGGATGGGAGGGAAACGGCAAGAAAGGTGATGAAGAGGGAGATGAACCGACCCTGCGAGGCCGAAGGCAGCGTCCTCTCCCTGGATTTTAGTCAAGGATTCCCCAGTTTTTGCAAGAATCCTAAAAGAAAGGATGTTTCCTCTGCTCAGTGTGAACATTAACTTGTGCAAATGAGTAAGTGCTGGATAATTATTGGGACAATCTCTCCCCCCTCTCCATTTATTAATTAATTTATTTATTTTTATTTATCTATTTTAATTTACCCACTGGCTGGAAGACGTGGCTCGATCAGTCAGAGCCCTGAGCACCCCCAGCGTCGCAGAGAGCCGATTAAGCCCAAATATACCCCAAAAGTGCCTCGTTTGAGCTCGGATTTGGGAGCAGAGCAGCCCTGGGAAGCCGGCAGATGGCACAGTGGAGCTTTCCCGGCTGGAAAAACATCAATTCCGTCACAGGCTGCGCTGAAATCGCTCTCCCGTGAGCAGATTTGGGATGACACAATAGGGCCGGGGGCGTTGGCTCTGGGTTGGAATTGGAAGCTGCTCTATGAGCACAAAACGAGGCTTTTCCCATAAAATGGGGAGTTTTCACGGCAAGATGCGGGAGCAAAGCAATTTCTGCAGTCCCAGCACATGGAGACATCCGTTCATCGGCAGGAAATTCTTCCCTGGGAGGGTGGTCACAAGCTGGGATGGAATTCCCGGAGAACATGTGGCTGCTCCTGGATCCCTGGAAGTGTCCAAGGGCAGAGCAACCTGGGCTAGTGGAAGGTGTCCCTGCCCATGGCAGGGGG